GCTGGAAGGAGCTTGGTGATGGTCTTCTCCAGCCCAGCTCCATCTTCCAGTTGGGAAGCTGAGCCCTACCCCTGTTCCCTCAATCCCAGGCCAGAACGGATGCCAGGTGTTAAGGCCACTCTGGGCAGAATTTTTTGCCATCTTAGTATACTAAGCGGCTTGGGGTAATATGATCAGATGGGTGTTTCTGGGGCAAACAGTCAGTGCCAGAGTTTTGTTTCTGATTGTGTTTGTGCTTTTGTCTAAGCCGTCCTACCCTCTTAGAATGCCCTCCACCAGCACATCTATAACCTGTTCATCCTTCAAGTCCTAATTTCAGCCTTTCCCTCCCCTCAACCCCCAACCGCCCCCATCCTTAAAGATCACAGTTTGAATCTGATTGTTTACCTAATCCATCCCACCCCAAGATGAGTGTCTCCTGCTGCCCCCACATGCATTCTTTGCTCACACTTTTTCTCTACCTGGAGTCCCTCCCTCCCTTTCTCTAACTGGCTGATGCTCCTAGATGCACAACCTTCCTCTCCATCCTCCCATCCCTGCCCCATTGCCCCAACTCAGCTCTGAGCTCCTGCAAATCAGGGCTTCTCTGGTCTCCCCTCAGCCTCAGTGGAGCCCAAGGAAGCCCTCATATCTGCTGTCTCCTTGATCTTGCGTAAGTCCTACAGTATGAGAAGGTTGCAATGTCCTGTGGCTTCCTGTCATGTAGGGAGCACTGGGCAGGAGTCAGGCCACAGAACCAAGCCCTGGCCCTGTGACCTGTTTGCTATGTGATCTCAGGCAAGTCTCTTCCCCTCTCTGGGCATCCGTGTTTTTATCTGTAAAATGACAGGGCTGGATATGACACTCTCTGGGGAGAGTTCCATAGGCGGGGCCTGTCCTTACCTTGCCAAGCCTGGGGACGTCCTGCAGATGACTGACCCTTACCTCTAGACCTAGGGACGTGGAAGCCCTTATATTCAGGAGCCTGATTAGCTACTTGGATAATTAAGGGTTTATTAAGGCCCAGATAATTATCTAAAGGACTGAAGAACAGGAGCCCCAATGCTCACGTGACACTTCAGTCTGTTCCAATGTAAATAGCACAGAGGATGAAGGTGGCTAAGGAGCCCAGGTGGCTGCAGGAGGACACGCACTGGTGGGAGGGATGTGGTCACTGGAGCGGGCATCAAGGCTCACATTGCCCCCTTCCCTAGACCCAGCACCTCCCACAAGTGAACAGGCAGTTGAGATTCTTATCCTGAGAGGGCTCCTGGTGCCTACAGGGAGAGACAGGCACTATGCAAGTCAACACCACAAAGCCAGGTCATTCTTGGGGAGTAAAGGGTAGTGGAAGCCACCAAACCAGGGGGATGGGCAGGGAGAGAATGTGGTTATCATCAGAGCAGAAGACCCCTGGAGCAGGGGATTTTGGAGCTGATACCTAAGGGTGAGCAGAGCCAGCTCTGCAAGGCAAGGGGAAGGTGTTTCAGGAGGGGAGCAGCAAGCACGAAGACCTGGGAGACATCGGCTGGACCATCAGGCCTTGTGACCCCTCTGAGATTCACAAGGGGCATGAGGAGCCAATTGTCCAGTGGGGTAGCCTCAGAGGGATGCTCCTGGAGGAGATGCTGGTAAATGCTGGGGGTGGGAGCGCGGGGCTTTGAAAGGTAATGAAGGCAGGGCGACCCCAGGGCCACACAGTAAGTTGGCCACAGAGGTAGGGCTAGAACCCAGGCCTTGGGGTGCCCAGTTTCTGCTCTGCTCTCCATGAGGCCCTTGAGGTCACCTCAAGGCTGATGGACAGTCCTAAGAGGGCCGCTGAAGGACTGAGGTTTTCCTCATCCACCATACAGGGGACCCACAGGTCTAAGGAAGCTATTCTTTCCATTGTGCATTTGGAGTCACTGTGGCAGGAGTTTGAGGCAACGGCCTGCCTGAGGGCAGTGGGCTGAAGCCAGGGTTAGGACAGGGAGAAAAAAGAACCCAGGTCAGCCCAGCCAGTCTCCATCTTGATCTTGGCCTTGAGCTAGAGGAGCCAGTCTACAGATAGCATCATTTTATCCCTGCAGATCCGCCCCTGACAGACAGAGGGACAGGCAGGCCTCACCTCCTTCCACAAGCAAATCCACCTGATATGTTTCTGGTCACCTATCACTTGGCCCCCACTGCCTCCCCACAAGGCCATCTTGGGTATTGAGTGGGGAGGGGAGGCATGAAGGACATGGGGTTGGGGGAGGCTAGAGAAACCCCTTTGTGTGGGTTCAGAGTTCTGAACAGTGGCTAGGGCTGTCCTCTGTTCTCACAAGCTGTGTCACTGTCCTCACAAGCCGTGTCACCTTGGGTGACTCCCTCGATCTCTCTGAGCCACTGTTTTACCTTCTTTATGATGACGGGGCAGAATAATAATAGTAATTCTGTCAGGAAAGAGACAGTCATGCCATCTTCTGTTCCACTAAGTTCAAAGTAAAGTGGCCCCAGCCAAGTTCCAATGGCCAGATAGGTGGGAAGATCTCTAAAAATAAAATTATTTTAAGGAAACAGAGAGACCCAGAATGTGGTCCCTCTGCAACCTGACACCCACAAACTAGGGACAGCCTTTCCACATGCAGCCCTTTCCTAACAGAAATCAAAGCCCTCACCACACTCCCACCTCTCTGACCCATCCAGTGATCAGACTCCTCTGTAAGTGCCCCTGTTTGGTCACACACCAAACAGCTGCATCTGCAAGCACAACCCCACCTGTCCCCAGTGTTCCCTCCTCCCTTCCTTCTCCCCCCAAGACACTTGCACTAGGCTCTGAATGTCTCAGCTGCCTTTGATTTGCCCAGCAACTCCAGGCCAGCTCTGACCTGGCCAAGCCAGCAAACTTCTCTGATATCCAGTAGGCCAAACAACACCCTCTCCAGTGAGGTCTGAGCCCGTGCGAGTTTTTCTTTCCTTGGGTACTCTCCCTCAGCCCTAGAGTATCACAGAGTTTCCTTCTGGCTTATAGTTACAATTTAACCATAGTTAATAATTTTTCATATTAAATGTTCCCTATTTAAGCTACTATGTGGTTTCAACCTTCTGATTGGACCCAGACTGCTACCCTCATCTGTCCCTCTCAGCAGCCCGCAGGCCCCTAACTGAATGGCTGAATGGTGTCCCATGAGAGTCAAGCCAGCTCCTTTGAGCAGACCACAGCTTCTTTGTGGGAGCAGAGCTTAATTCAGGTGTTTCGGTCCCCTCATCTTGAAAGAACATATATTATAGAACTGGTAATATCATGGGTACGAACAAAGACCTAGCCAATTGCAAATGATTGGCTAAATGAGTGGATGTGTGAATGACAGGATGGATGGACAAATGGATGGGTGGGTGTATGGATTGATAGGTAGGTAGATGAATAGTGGAAGGAAGAAAGCAAGGAAGGAAGGAAGGAAGGAAGGAAGATGGAAATAACCAGGGGCCAATGTTATACTGAGGAAGGAGAAGGGAAGGGAAGGGAAGGGAAGGGAAGGGGAGGGAAGGGGAGGGACAGAAGGAGGGAGGGAGGGAGGGAGGAAATAAGGATGGAAAGTTGGATCACTGGACTGACTGCTTAATGGATGGACTCTATATGATCTTTTTCTAGGTCATTACTGCCTTTATAGGCTGTGTCTATGTATTAAAATTTTTGTCTCCCATATCCTAAAATACTTAGCGTTGGGCTGAGCTGATATTAAGTCCCAATAAATGTAAGATTAATGAATTAGTTAACTAAGCAACCAAATGAAATAAAAGCCATGCTGTCCTGAGCACAACCATGAGGTTGGATTTTACAGTCTGCCCCTTTCTACTCTCTCACCACCACCCATCTTCTTCCCACCACCAAGACTCTGGGCAGGTTCCAGGCCCCTCAGCCTGCTGCATTGGGATTTTACAGATGAACCTGTAACCTATATAGCAAGAGAGGCTAGTGTTATACACTACCAAAGATTTTGCTTACTGACGGTATAAATTCAGGCACATTTTACTCCCCAGCGAAACATAAACAGAACATGAATCTTGTATATCTGGGCAGGAAGGAATACTATCTCTGGCTAAGAGATTAGCTTAAAATGAGAGGAGAAAAATCACATGGCTTTCTTTGCTAATGTTTGCATCCTCAGTCTTCCCTAGGCCATCTTGTTGTATATGACCCACTGGGTTTGAAGAGCTTTTGGAAGCAAAAGGAATTAGACATATTCAGTGAAACCATAGGCCCAGAAAGCAGATTCTGCTTCCTTCAAACAAACAAACAAAAAATTTGCTCATGATCTGAGTAAACCAAAGATGGAGAAGCTGCTTGAGAAGGCAGGGAACTCCTTGTCACCTGAGGCTTGTGACCCAAGGACAAACCCCAGGTTGGGGTGCTGGTGATAGAAGAGGGGACTGGACACCTTACGTCTGGATTCTAGGAAGGTTGCAGTCCCAGGGATCTGCTGCCATCCAGCTCGGAGACTCGGCACATTTCTTAGTCTGGCCCTTAGTCTCCACATCTGTGAAAGGGGACTCCATACCCTGCATGCCTGACTCACAGGGCTCTTATGAGATTCCAGGAACAAGCTGGGATGTGACAATGTGGAGAGGAAAAGGCATGGGACATGCCTCCAGGTAAGGCACAATGCCTAAAGTGCCACCATGGCATTTGTAACTTCTAGGTTGTCTATATCGCTCTCCAGGGATCTCTCAAAATATGAGCTCCCCTGGGCAAGGGGGTGATGGGATCAACAGATAAGGCCACCAGAGATGTATTCACATCTTCTTCCTCTTCCAGGCAGCTCCGGTGGCTCTAGGGACAGACAGGACCCAGGGACAACATGTAGGGAATGATTGACCTCAGGTATGCAAAAAGTTCACAGGGCCTGGCTGGAAATTGCAGCTCAAGAGATGATGTTTAATGCAAGAAAGAACAGGTCTGTAAGCCTGGAGAAGCAATTTGCTCCCCACAAGGAGGCGAATGGAGGAAGGGGCTGGGTGAGGGAAGAAGTGGGGAGAGAAGGGGAAAGGGGAGGGGTAGGAGGAAGTGAGGCAGGGGAACGCAGGCATACAGCGAAGATTAAAGAGCCCAGTTGGGCCATCCAGCTTGCTGGAAATGATTAAGTGTGGCTTTGCCTCAGTTTTCCAAGTGGCTTCAGGCGCAAGGGTCCTGGCCCTCATGCCAGGCAGTGCGCTGGCCCACTCAGCTCTCCCAGTGGTCCCGCCTCAGTGCTCATACAGAAGTTTGCTGGATACCACCACGTAGCCCTGAAAGGCAAAGAAAACCATGGGCAGGTCAGAAGCCACGCGACGACCAGTAGGACCCGCAGCTGCTCCATCAGCCTGGCTCTGAGTTCATGCTGTGTCACTCTTGTCATGTGTCCTGAGAACAGTCCTTTGCTTCTCTGGGCTCAGTTTCCTAATCTGGCATTAACAGCACCCACCTCAAAAGACTACTATAAGGATACAGTGAGACCATGCAGGTAGAGCCCTCAGCATGGGACCAGCAGTTGATGCCTGCTTCCTACATGGTCAGTACCATCGCCATTTTATGATTAGGAGTCCAGATCATTGTGTATTTTCTCCAAGTCCAAGTCTCCCTAGCAGAGCCAGACACCCCTTCCCGCCCCAACCATGTCCTCTGCTCTCTACATTGTACCGCAGAAACACCCTGGGAGCCTGCTGATCTTTCTTTCTTTCTTTCATTCATTCATTCATTCAGCAAATCTTCACCAAGCCTTTACTATGAGCCAAGCCCTATGCCAGGTGCTGGCGATCCAGCAGAGAACAAGCCAGATCAAGTTCCTACCCAAATGTAGCTCTTATATGGTAGCCACTAGCTACATGGGGCTAATTACATTTCAATTAATTAAAATTAAATAAAATTTAAAATTCAGCTCCTCAGTTGTACAGGCCACATTTCAAGTGCCCAATAGTCACACGTGCCCAGTGGCCAATAGTGGCAACTGCATTGGACAGTGCAGAGTTCCATCCTCACAGAAAGGTCTATTGGGCTGTGCTAGTCTACGGACCTTTGACTTCAGACCCACTTGGCTGGATTTGTGTCAAGGTGGGTCAGCCGCTAACCGTGCTTGTATGGGGGTGTCTTAGGGAAATTCCTACTAATAACCCTGTCTCCTCCATGTGCCTATTATTCCTTCTTAAAGGGGTGGATCACCCAAGTGCCTTGGGACCATGGTCCTTAAGCAACGAGGGCATCCTCCCCAGAAGGACATCAGTGGGTCCCACTTGGGGTGGGGGTGTGAATAACACACAGATGTTGGGCTCGAGGGACCTTGGCTAAGCTTTCTGTCCTGTGCATACCTTGTTATATGAATTAGGAAGAATATATCTTTTTATGTCCTGAATGAAACAGAAAGAAGTTATAGGATCTCACCTTTGGGCAGTGGTCATGATTGAATTTCACCCTGAGCCCACAATTTCTGATCAGGGAAAGTGCTTCTAGAAGAGTCAGGAGGCCCCTCCCTCATCCAGCCTACAGTGGTTTGTGTACAAAGCTGGAAGGAGCCCGTCTGTCACCCTTGCTCAGAAACCAATATGACCATGCCTATTCCAGAGCACAGAAGTAAGGGACAACCGAAGGCCCCTGAGTGTGGCCTGTTGTGATATTTGATGAGGACTGAAGGGCGGTGAAACCCGCCCACCAGTGTCTCTTGATATCCTAACTTTTGCATCTCATTGCAATTAAGGATTCATGGAGTAGTCTTGGCAGGAGTGAGGGTGCTCCCAGGCCTGGCTGACCCTAAGACCACATTGTTTACACTAGCAGGGACACAGGAGAGAAGTGGCTCCCATCTCCCTGATCCCAGCCTCCCTCCAAGGGTAGAGGAGTCCCCTCTGGTCACACCCACAGACTCTCACCTCATGGACAAAGATCTCAGCGTTGAGATAGTAGAGGCTGACCACGTTGGGGAGGGCAATCCCCATGCCCAAGAGAGCTGCAGGAGGGAAAGGAGAAACCAAGTTCAGCTGGGAGGCGGTGACCGAGCACTGCTGGAGCATGTCCTGTGCTGAAGTCCTCATGTGCATCGTGACACCAAGTTCCAGACACCCAGGAGGTGGGAGCCATGATTATTGCACTCACTTTACAGAAGGGAAAATTGAGGCTTAGGGAGGGAAAAAAACTTAGCTGCGATCATACAGTTGCTAAACAGTTGAGCTAAGACGGGCTCACAGGCAGCTGGATTCCAAAGGCCACCCTCTTAATCTTTGAAGCCTGGAGTGGTGTGGGACAGGAGGGGACAAGAGGTGCCACACTGGGGTTGAGAGCAGGGCTCACCATTGAGATGGTCCAGCAGAGGCTTCTCAAACACGGTGCCTATTTGTGCGTGCACTTGATCTGTCTGCAGCCGTGGAACCAGGGAGATGGTTGACCGTAGGCCCGCCCCAGCGAGGGGCCGAGAGAGATAGGCAGGCCACACAGATGGACACATGGATGGCAGAGGCACAGAGAAAGGAAGGAAGGCATGTCATCCCTGACCTGCCTTCAAGCAGAGACCATCTACCCCCGGGGCCAGGTCAGTATTCTGAGCATTAGGCATCCAGGATCCACTCACCTGAGGGGAGGCTGAGAGACTAGCACCTGACTAACTGATACCCACTCACAGTGTGACCAACAGGTGACTGGCAGACCGTCTGATGTCAAGTGGCTAGCTGCCCTGTTGGCGCTGACTGATAGATAGACTGACCTTGGATAGACTGATGGGGCATATTGACTGACAGGCCAACCAACAATGGCGGCCCAGCCACGTGCATGACCAAAGGACCAGCTAACACTGTCTAATGCTGGCTTATCCAATTATCAGTGGTCTCAGTGATTTTGGGGGCTGACAAGTCACCAGCCACCAGACAGGCAAGCTGAGGTTGACTGACCAGCTGGCCAGTGGACAGACAGCCTGGGAAAGACAGACTGTCCAATGGATGGACCACTGACTGACCACTGTCTCCAAGCACCCCAGGCAGATTATGGTGGCACATATAGGCACATACATGCACAAGTAAGCATGCACACACATACCCCTTCTCCAGGCGTAAGGCCTCCCCCACCCAGTGAGGGGACCTCTGGAGACCTCAGCCCCACACTCACATCAATGAAGCCCACATTGGAAGAGGCCACAGTGAGCTTGACATCCCTGAAATGGAAGCAGGAGGATTAGGCATGGGACCTAGTGCCCATCACCACCCATGCCATACCTACACCCCAGGCTCCTCTGACAGACAATGTGACAGGTGACACCATGATGGGTGGTGGCAAGCCAATTGCACAGAGAAACACTCTGAGGCTGCTGGGTCCAGGAGGCCTTGCTTACCCCAGCACAGATGTGATCCCCTGAAGCTTCACCTTGGACACGGAGAGCTGGAGGCTGAGGTTCACTGCCTGAGTGTATGGGGAGAACAGGGTCAAAGGGCACAAAGCCATGTGGGAGCTTTCAGCTGGCCACCAGTGACCCCAGCCTCCCACTCATCCCCCTACTCATTCAGGTGTTTGTGGAGTACAGGCCAGTAAGGGAGATGAACAACAACCAAACAGAATTTTTTCAGAGAGTAGAGGGTAGAGTGGTGGCATGGAGAGGGCTGATGGGGACCATCTTTCTCAGGGTGGTCTTGGAAGGCTTCCCTGAAGAGGGATGCAACATTTAAGCTGAGACCTGAAAGATGAGGAGAAGCCAACCACGCCAAGAGCCAGGGGAAGGGTGTCCTAGGCACAAGTATGACACGTGCAAAAGTCCTGAGGCAGGAATGTCCTGGCTCATGAAGGAACAGCTAGGCCAGTGCGGATAGGACAGAGCAGGTGAGGAGAGTGGAGCAGAAAGTAAGGTCTCCTTGCAAGTCAGCCTCCCTCCCAGAGCCAGCCCTGCCCAGCCCACCTCACTCACCACATTGAGGGAGAAAAGGGACTGGAAAGCTGAGTTAGATGTCACAGCCAGGACCTCCACAAAGGGCTGCAGCTGCAGCGTGGCATTGTTGGTATGGAGAATGACCATGGGCGTGGCACCCAGCCGCACCTTGAGCACCACGGACATGGGCTGGGGGAACTGGTGTGTTATCTAGGAAAGCGGAGGGGGAGAAAGAGAGGAGGGCACCTGGGGGCAAAGGCTGGGTGGGCTCTCTACTTGTCATTCTTCTGATGCTGATCAAGCCACCGTTTGTCCCTGACTGGTCCACAGAGGTGGGACCACCCCACACCCCTACCCTTGGGGATGCCCAGTCTGGGGTAATAGGCATGAAGACAGGCACAGCCTGTGCTAGGAGAAAGGGATGCTCAGGGGCTGTGATGCTCAAGGAGCCTCCTGGACCAGACTAGGGGTTTGATCCTCCCCTAGGAGGTAATCTCTGAACTTGATCTTGAAGATGGATAAGAGAAAGGAAGCAGAAAGCACATCCCAAGCAGAGGGCAGTGCTTGGGCATTTCTCCACAGAGAGGAGAAAATAACATGTTTGGGTGGGAGGGGCTATCCTGAGATGGAAGGGTGCAGATGTAAGAGTAGATGCTGAACCCCACTTGGGACAGATATGAACCAGCAGAGATCCCACAGCCCAGAGAGCTCCCCGACCCCGATCTTAGGTCTCAGCCCCTAGAATGACCAGAAACTTCACCAACCTCGGGGATGAGCAGGCCCAGCACCGAGGTGTTCAGCGGATTGTTATCTGACTTCTGAAATCAGCATCACACGCCATGATAGGTTTTAGGGCAATCGCTCCCCAAGTTAGACCACCCCTTACCTCCCCCAAACCTCCATTTAACCCTTTCAACAGCCCCTGTGACCTCAAAACTCCAGCCCCCCCACCCATTCACAATTTAGCCCCTACAGGATTTCCCCAGGCCAGGGCCCATGGTGTGCCTGCCCCGCGTGCCTCGGGCAGCAGATCTGGCCCTCACCAGCTGCCCTGTGATGTCCATGTTTAGGGTACCAGCCTTCTGCAGCAGCAGGAGGACAGAGTCAAACATGTCCTGGGAGAGGCCCACAGTTGCCATGGCACTGTCAGTGCCTACATGCTCTGGCAGCATGAAACGCGTGGCATTCACAGGCAGGACGATGGGCTTGCCCAGCAGGAAGAGAACAGCCTGTAGGGGAAGGTTGAGAAGGAGACAAGCACTGGGGCCTCAATAGGGAGGTGGCTCCATCACAGATCCTGGGTTTTGAAATGCTGTCCACTCCAAGATGTCACACGTCCAACCTCACACCTGGAATGTCATTCCAGCTCCTCTACCATCAACTCCTCTGCTCCTTTAGGAATTTTCCAGAACACCAAGGACTCCAGAGGCAACAAGTCTTCAGCTCTGGGCTGACAAGAAGGTACTTACGCTGATATCCAAAGAAATGTAGTCATTAGTGATATTGGGTGCACTGATCATGAAGTAGCGAATCTGGGACTCAGGACCCACAGGGTTGAGGCCTAAACGAAACCAGAATGAAGAAGAAAAGATGGCACACTTAGCATCGTCTACCAGTGCCTCATCTATGCAGAAAACTCAATTATCTGAATACCTTGGTTCACCAGACCCAGGGCAAGAAACAAACAAACAAACAAAAAACAAACAGGAAAAAGCCCATGAGTGAGCAAACAAGTTGCAAAGTGCACACATCTAAAATCCAGCCACCCACAATCTGCTTCTTAGTTTAGATACAATCCTAACAGTTTTGGTTTCTGTTCCCAGTCGATAGATGACTAGAGACCCCAAATAAGAAAGAAGGAGAAAGGTCACGCTAGGCACAAACACTCCCTGACAAAGGCAAGAAGGAACCACAGGAAAAAAGGGAGTTCACATATACTGAGGTTCAGACATTTGACTTACAACGTCGCATTCAGTCCTCACCAGTCCTGTAGGGTTAAGAGCCCATTTTATACACATACACACGCGCGCGCGCGTGCGCACGCACACACACGCACACACACACACACACACACACACACACACACACACCATTTGATGAGTTTAGCTGTGCCCTGGATTGCATACTTGGTCCATCCGACTCCAAAGGTACATTCTCTCCACTTAATCACACAGCCTCCTACAGGAATTCAAAAGGCACAGCCCCCTGGGTCATTCAGTGCCAGAGCACATCAGTGCCTGCACCCCTAAAGACATTTAGGGGACCTTTCAGGGAGACGCATCTGAGAGCCCGATGCCTATAAGGCAAGTTCCCCCAAGGCTCAGAACATTCGGATTGAGAAGGTTGCACAGTGTGACTCTCTAGTGGGAACCGTATCTCCAGACACAGCTAGGCTAGACAACAAGCAGATGAAGCCTCAACCCCACCGTCAGGAAAGCCAACAGCTCCTTCCCAAAGGCTCTGCATAACTCAGGTTTTAATGCCTCTGTGTGTGTATGTGTCCATTTAGATTTCTTTCTGATTTTCTGTCTCTTCTGCATTTAATTTGATTTTCTCTAGTATTTGGGGGATTTCTTATGATTGTAAAAGCAATGTGATATGATCAGTAGTTGTCAAAGATCAGGGAGGGTGGAGCGGGGCAGCTCAAAGGGATTCTAGGGGCTGGTGCAATGTTCTGTGTATCAAGTGTGGTGGCAATTACATGACTTTATGCATTGGTCAAAACTCACAGACGACACTGCAGAGGGTGAATTACTCTATGCTTTTAAAGTGAATAAACAGTTAAAAACTTTAAATGATAGTCCATATTCATTGTGAACATATAGAACATTTTTTAAAGATAGAAGAAATATAATCCAGAATTTCAAATTTATTTCTTTTTCGGTATTTTTCTTATACAGAGATAAAGTTCTCTCTCACTCTCTCAGTAAAACTGGAGTGAAGCTATATATATATATATATATATATATATATCTTTGTGTCCTCTTTTTTCTTTAAAGAGTGACATTATACGTTAGTTAAGACCACAGGCTTTCAAGGAGGAATGCCTCAGTTTCTTCATCTGTAAAATGGAGCTAATAACACTACAGTAAATATTAGCTTTTATTATATTGTATTTTGCCAGGCATATTGCTAGGTTAATGCCCCCTTTAAACTATGCTTTTTAATGGCTCCTATCACTCCATGCTCTAGGTATACATGACTCATATAAACAGTCTCCCAGGGTTGGACACTTAGATTTCCTTTACTCATTTTTTTTTTAATTCCTCAAAGACATGGGCAAGGGCTGGTTTTGGTATGGACCTAATTACAAGTCATCATGATGGAGAAAACCCTGCTAAGGAAGATGGGAGAGACTAATGTTTATTGAGTCTATTTTATGCCAGGCACTTAACCTGTGCTGTCTTATAGCAATCCATGGAGAAGTGAAATTTCGATCCCCATTTTTGGATTGGAATGGTTAGGCTCCGAGAGATGGGTGACTCCCCCAAGGTCACAAAGCAGGTGAGCAACAGTGCCAGAATTACCCTCAAGTCCCTTGATTCCAAGTCCAATTTCTTCGACCTCCTGGTGCCTTCTATTAAGGTAATATGGAGATTGAGGCAGTGATGGGAATGAGGGAAATCAAAGAATATTCCCCAGACAAGGTGACTTTGAGCTGGGCTGTGAAATGTGGGCAGAGCAGTGGGTGGACATGTGAGAAGTAGAAAACCAGAATGAGCTGGTTCATGGGTGCCTCTAGCACCATGCTGAGGATTTTAGACTCAGAGCCTCTGGTTTCTCTTCTATAAACTGGGCATAAAAAACGCCACCTCATAGGACTGTTAGAAGAAGTTTGCACAAGGAAAACAAAGTTACCTTGATATGACAATATTCACTGAGGAACCCACCACGGATAAGCGTGGACCCTGCCAGACATCTTTCCTGGCTTAACACCAGCATGCTGGTCCTAAATCTCATCCCCTCAACCCCCACACACCTGTCCCAGGCTGGGCAAGAGTTAGTTGCAAACCCTGACTCAAAGGCAAAGCCAATTGATCGCAAAGTGCAGCTGCCAACAGCCACCAGCTCTGAATTTCACAAAGTTGATGACTGCAATGTGGGAGAAACACTAAAACCCTAGGCAAAACCATTCGATAGGAGAAGATGTGCTTCAAGCAGGAGAAGCTTCCAAATAGGCTTGTGAAAAAAACAGAGGAAGTTCTGCATTACGCTCAGGGCTCAGTGAGAACATATTATCCCCCAATTCAACATACGATGCATTCTTTTATCAGTCTAGGTAATTGCCAGGTAGTTCTCAAATATTGATACACATTGAAACTGTTGAAAAGAAATGAAGCTGATCTACTTTCATAGCTTTCAATTTCAAGTTGTAAGACAAAGTTGTGATGGAGCCTTGTTTAGCATGCACTGTGGCCACTGTGCATAGTGGCTGCAAGCACCTGGGACTCCATCTGCCGTCGAAGAGCAAGGTATGTAGAGTGGTGGTGAGGTGACCAATGACTGATGGGAGTCAGTGGATGTATAGCCCTGCTCCTGCCTCTTGAGGAGAAGGTTAGGCATGTTCTTTTCTATATCCAAGAGCTCTCCAATGGGAGTGAGCCCCAGAAGCCACAGCAGTTACCTGTCCATTAACACATCTTCCTTCCCTTACCACTGCTCCCCGCCTCAACCAGTGGCCCCCAGGACCTTCTCCTCCACTCCCTGTTTGAGTCACTTATACTAAAATCCTCATCTCAACGTCTGTTTCTGGGGGATTAGCCTAGACAGTGACCTTCTGCTAGTATACTCCCAGTACTCCCTGGATAATTAAGACTTCTGGATAAATGAGAGGTGGGATGAGCCTGACAGTGGAGAGGAGAGGAAGCCTTGACTCTGGGTGGTGGGTGGCCCCTGAGAAGGGAAACAGGATCAAGGGCACTTGGGAGCAGAAGAGCTTGAGTTCTGTCAAGGACATGTTGAGTGAGAGAAGCCTGTGGGACTTTCCAGGAGGAGGTGTCCAGGAGGAAATGAAATATAAGGGCCAGAGCCCTGAAGTGGGGAGGGAGGAGAGTCTAGCAAAGAATGTGAGAGATGTGGGAGTAAAACCATGGGAGGAGGGAGTCTCTGAATCTCCAGGTGGAGGAGGAGGCAATTGCAAACTGCATATACTCCTCCTTACACACACATACACACACACCAAACATTCATTCAAAGACATGGTTCTAGAATATGGAGATTCCCAGCAATTTTTTAGTCATCCTACAGTTAATCAGGAGTTGAGTCTTGAAGAGTCTTGGGGGCCTGTGAAGGTCTCAGAGGTCCCTCCACAACCCCAGGCTCCCAGGTCTTACCAATTAAAGTGCCCAGGTGGACGTTGAGGTTCTGCACCAGGTTAGAGATGCTCAGGCACAGCTGCGGCAAGACAAAGGAGGCTGGGTCAGGGGCACTCGGGTCTGGAAGCCTCCCTCAGCCTGGAAGCCTCCCTCAGCCTGGACACCAAGGCCTGAGATCCTTTCCTTCCTCTACCACCCAGAGGGCATCTTTGGGCATCTCCTCTGAGCACTGGGGAGTCAGAGGGGAAGTTAATATCCATGGGCATTGAGGAAAGAACAGGGGCTGAGGGACACAGCAGAGGTGGCCACAGCTGGGCCTGGGTGACTGCTGCATCGGGTCCCAGAGGGCCAGCTGGTGGAAGAGTGTTACCTGAGGTAGAGGCAGGCAGTGGTCGGCAAGCCGGGCAAGGAGACTAGGGTTCTCCTGAGCAGAGTGGCAGCCAGAGAAGCGTATTAAGCTAGAGTCACTGTGATGGAGGTGGCAGAGGAGAGACTGCAAGGCTAGGGACGGTCACTGCCTGGTCCAGGCAAGAGCTGGTGAGGCTGGGCCAGGTGAGGCCAGGTGGCAGAGGAGAGGGCCAGGTCAGGTTGTACTGCCTTCCACTCTGGAGCCTCAGTTTTTTCATTTGAAAGATGAGAGTGCTAAGGCCTGCCTCCGGGGGGTGTGGGATGGCATGCAGTGGGTTCATTTGGTCTCTACTGCTGCCCCTTAAAGGAGGTGGCAGTGAGGTGAGAAGGGGTAGAGATGAAGAACTAGTTCCCTCTTGGCAGCAGGACTCTGGCCTCTGGGCACCATCTCTCACCAAGTCAACCACAGGCAGTTAATAACAAGAGCTAAAATATAAACAGTAATGGCAGCACCCTGCCCAAACTGTCCTAAACTCTTTGTGGATCTTAATGCGCTCAACCCTCAAGCCAGCCCACCAGGACATTTACTCTCTCTGCGTTGCAGATGTAGAATTGGGGGCACAGGGAAGTTAGGCGACCTGTCCAGTTCACAGCTGGAAAGAAGGGGAATCGGAACACAGACCACATCCGGCTCCAGTCTTTGTCCGCTCTCATTTTGTCATCTTTTCACTAGCCACACGGCCTCCGAAAGCACTGCCCCCATCCCACCCTTTAGCATGGAATTGGGGCTGCCCAAGAGGATGAGCCTCCTTCCCTTGTTATCCCCCCAAACTGCCCTTGTTTGGGCCTTCCTGTCACTGGCCTGGAGTAGCTTCTTCCCTGCCCTCATGGGAAAATCGGAGGAGTTCCATGAAGGGCATTCAATAAGTAAATAAATAGATAATAGACGAGAGAGAGAGAGAGAGAGAGAGAGATGATAGATAGATAGATAATAAGGCAGTAACCATTCCAATCTCCCCATGCCTGCAAACCCCCATTCATTCGCCATGCCTGCTGAGGTAAGTGATGCCCTGCTTCCTGAGAGATCGGCAGGAGGCCCTTTACCTTGTTACGCAGGACAGCTTTGATGTGACGCTGCACCCGGACCAGCAAGGCCGTGCTAAGGAAGAGACATAAGAAGGGCTCCTTAGCTCTGAGTCAGTGCATTTGGTCCTGTCTCTCTTGGCAAAGCCACCCATCTGGGTGAGACGTCTTTTCTCAGGCAGGGGTCAGTGATTCCCATGTCACACCTTGCCATCAGCTGAATACAATTGTCCCCACAGGTGAGGAAACTGAGCCTCAAACCAGAGCACTGGCTTCAAGGTTCGGAAGTAGCTAAGATGTGATAATGAGGCCAGGCTTAGGGGAGACAGAGTGGGTGTTGCAAAAGCTGGGCTCAGCCACTTCCTTGGCCAGTGGGCTTTGTGGGCCACTCTGATCACCATGAGGAAGGGGTGCTTCCTGCTTGGACTCCAATTCTCTGTGACACCATTAGTAAAGTCCTTACCTCTCTCTGGGCCTCAGTTTTTCCTCTGAACAGTGAGAGACTGGTCTAAGTTAGTGTGTCTCCACAGAGATGCCCAGGAAACCATAGCCCTATGTTTGCTAAAACATTGATCCAAGCTGTAGCCCAAATCCATTGACTTGCCTCTGGGGGGAGGTGGGAAGATGGCATCTGTGTTTTTAATGCCATCAACCTTGGGGCTTCCATTTCCGTGAGCAGCCCCTGCCTGTGAGGGCCTTGAGGGGACGTGAGTTACACATGATGATCATGGGACACGAGCAGGATTTACAAACTACTCTTCTCTGGGGAAAATACAGTCCAAAATGTTCAACCACCTCACAGTGAGCCCCTACCCATGTGTGGGAAAGTATAGACAAAATGCAGGGGATTCACGAGCACTGGGTTAGTCAGGCTGTGAGGGTTTGAACCTCGCTCCAGCATTTGCCAGCTGTGTGACTTTAGGCAAATCACTTAACTGCTCTGTGCCTCCGTTTTTTCTCCTGTAAAATGGAGAAAATAGTTACACCCCCACTGGTAGGATTACTGTTAGACAATGCTCAGAAAGGGCCTAGAATGTGACCAGCTCTCAGCAGGTTCTCTGGAGGCAGGAGCTGCTGTAAGCTTTAGATAGTACATGAGAGGCCACCTCACACAGTGAGAGCTTGGTGGATCCCAGTCCCCTGGACCTCAGACTCCCTATCTCTGCAGGAAGGGACAGCCCTCTGAGGTCCCTAATAAAGGCATAAGCCCACAATCCCTTCCTGAGTAGTATGTTAATGGCTAATGTGCGTTGTTATGTGGTGGGAGGGTGGGACCGTAGAGAGGACATGGGCTCTGGCTGCACACTCACTGTGTCACCTCAGGCAAGTCCCTGCACCTCTCTGATCCTTAGAGTGCTCAGCTGGATGTGATACTGGGGGTCTTTTAGGCCCATTGTGGCAAATGGATGAAGGCTTGAGTAGGAAGCTCAGAATATAGCACCAGAGCCCAGGCACCCACCTGTGATTGCCATCAAGCACAATGGCATTATTGAAGAATGAGGAGCAGGTGGAGATGCTGACAACGGGAGTCCTGATGGAGTCGGGGGCCACACGAGCATCAGCCACCAGTACCACAGGTAGAACCAGCTCCAGGGGCTCTGGGACTCTGCAGGGACACCAGTCCTGAGACACAGCTGCGCCGCCCAGAAGAGCCCATGTTGACCGATTTGAGACCTTGCAAACCCCCAGCCCAAGCCTGCCCTCCACTTGACACAGGCAAGACCCCCACTCAGCATGATATGGTCCCACTTGAGCCCCCCAAACTCCACTCAGGGTCACAGACATTACAGCAGTTGGGTGTGAACTCTGGCTCCCCATGCCCTCTGACTGCGAGACCCGAGTCAGTCATTCCCCATACTGAGCCTCAGTTTCCTTTTGATAAAATGAACATAAGATTGATGGAACTGATCTCAAAGGGCTGTGCTGTTTCTATGAGGCAGTCATGTGAAAACACCCTGCTTGGAGCCTCTCCCACAGTAAACACTTATAACATAGGAGTGTCAGGACAGAGGAATTAAAATAAGAGACCCCTCTGAAGGTCCAGCTCATAGTTTGAAAATTAAATGCATATAAAGTGACCGATGTACAGAAATAATTCTAATGGCTATGCTTATTGAGCATCTACTATGTGTGTAATTTTAATGAATTAATTTAAGGAATCCATGCACTGCAACCCTCATAGACCTGCTGTGAAATTTCATCCCGTTTTACAGCGGAGAAAACTGAGAGATGGAGAAGAAAACTAACTCTGATCGTCCCTGAAAACCTTGCCCCCTCCCGACAAGGAGACTCACTCACCGAAAGACCTTGAAAGTAAAATTGGCTGCCACCAACATGCGTATCCCAAAGCCGGCAATGAAGTTCAGGTCCAGGCGGGACACCTGCACATTCAGAATCTGGACCCTGCAGGGTAGGAATGGAGGTGACAGGGTGGCCCCCATTAAACCATGGAATTAACTCTGGGGTGAGTGCCCTGAGCCATATACACACTGTTGATGTTATAAAGGACTTTCTGACCATTGGAACCATGAGATGAGGAAGAGGTAGTGAGTTCTTCATCACAGAGGGCATGCAAGCCTTGTACGGACAACAAGCTGGTAGGGAAAAGATGCAGAGAGGATCCCAGCACTGGACTGGAATTGGGTGAGGTGATTTCTCAGGTCTTGGAGGGATTTTAGTGTTTGACTGAGGTCTGGAAAGCTGGAAAGTGGGGAAAGAAAGACTTCGGGACCCACAGAAGGCAGAAATCCCCTCTACAGAATTCTAGTCAACAGCTTTGGCTTGTAGCTCTCCGGCAATGGGAAACTTAATCCCTTAAAAGCTGCCTGTTCTGATTGCTAAGCACTTTGCAACTAACCTATAATTCCTTTTTTTCCTAAATGAAAGTCATTTTTTTTTCTGCACAGCAGTGGTGGGGGCAGGGGTAATTCAAAACATTACAAATGGTATAAATTTTTAAAATCACATCAAAACTCCACAAACACTCTCACTGTTGGCACTTGGGTGACATCCTTCCATAACTCTTCTTAGGACACAAGCTGACCTAGAACCTATTTTTTTTTACTTGACAACCATCCCGGATGTGTTCCCACATCTATAAACAAGGACTCTCGGTGCTGTAATCAAACAGCCACATGCTGTCCATTGTGTGGCTGGATAACAAATCATTTAGGAACCCTCAACTGTTAGGAATTGATGTTGTTGCCCGTTCTCCACCATTATCAACCACGCTGTGAGCAGCATTCCAGCCCTACCCAGGGGCCTCAACTGGAGTGGGGAGGGCCTCCGAGTCAGCTGCTTTTTTACCCACCTGTATTAAATATTTGAAGTTAGTCTCCATCATTCCAAACTTTATAGTATATATATATTTTCTTGTAAATCCAGAGATCTGGCAATAGTAAATCTGCGTCCACATAGATGGGGACAGCTGGCCAAGCCCCTGGAGGTATCTGAGTTTGAGGCACCCCCATCTATCTTTGCCTTTGAGTCTCTGTGCTTAATGGGGTAATGGGGATGCTGTGGGGGTAAATTACTCAGATTTGTGTCTAAATTCAGTGTCTAGCTTTTGGAGGCAGTAGCCAAGGGTCCTGCCAGCACTGGGAACCCAGGAGCCACAATCTTGCACAATCTTGGCCGCTGGAGGCAGAAATCTACAAATTCGAAGGCTCCAGGCCCCCATGTCTCTACCTTGGTCTCATCTCCTAAGTCCTCTTGTGACCACTCACCTAGTGGGTGGGCGTATCTAACCGAGTGAGGGAAGCACTCATCTAGCTTGTGGGGAAACACTCACCTATAGACGAGGGTGTTCATTTAGTAGACTGGAGCATTCTTCCCAGGGGATGAGGGGACTCACCTGGCAAGTGGGAACACTCACCTGGTGACAAGAGCACCTTATCTGGAGGGCAGGAGCACTCACCTGGAGGGCTGAAGCACCTCTCCACTCCAGTCCAGGAAATGTGGGACAGTGACCTGCAGGGCCCGCTGGAGAGGGGCTTTCCCGGTTTCAGACACTATGAGGCCAGAGCAGGGCAAGGTCAGGCTGCCCTCAGGAGCCACCAAGGAAGACCACACCATCTGCCATCTGCTCCACATCCTGAGAGGGGAGGGCTCAGAAACTGGAAGGGGTAGGCTTGTCCACGGACACAGGGGGCCAGTCCGCTCCCCATAATCCCTCCTTGGGTGCACTCCTCACACCAGAACTGCAAGGCATGCCATCCCTCTCTCACTCTGCCTCTCGAAATCCCACTGTCTACCCCACTCCTCAGAAACAATAACAAACTTGCTTTGCCCTTTTGCAAGATTCTGATGGGATTCCACCTCCTCCGGAGCCTCCCCAAATCCCCAAGCAGAGCACCCCACCAGTTGAAAGGTGGTGGGATCTGGGGGATGGAGGCTGAGGACTCTGGAATCCCTGAGATTCTGGGTGCAACCCCCAGCTCTACTACTCTGCTATTCACTATCTGTGTGACTGCTCTGTGCCTCGGTTTCCCTACCTATAAATTTGCAATGATTATAATGGTACCCATCACATAGGGTCCTTATAATGGCTCAGCACACAATAAATGTTAGCTCTCCCTGTTGCTCTTCTTTTTTATGATAATAATGGCTAATATTTCTATAGTTTCTCCTTTGTTCTGCCAGGACTGTTCTGGGTGCTTTGCTTTTCATCACAACTCTGTAACATAGGTACTATATTATGCCCTGTTTATGAATGGGTAAGAACACCTGGAAAGGGGATGTCAAGTCAGAGCTGAAGTCAGATCTTGGCTCCCAAGCCCCTGAACCTCCTCATGCACCCGTGCTGCTGGACCAAGGCAGGTGCCGATTAAATGTGAGTGGAATTAAAAAGGGGAGCGATGGTGCTGGAAGAGAGCACTTGATGAGTCAAGAGGCCTGGACTCTGCTCAGACTCACTGTGGGATCTGAAGAAGTCCCTGTGCCCCTCTAGTCCTCAGTTTCCCCAGACGCAAGCATAAAGGCAGTAGTCTCTATGCTCTTAAGGCCCCTCTCCAGCCTGACTATCTATGATTGAGCTGAGACCCACACCCAAGCCTCTAGGCTCCATCCATAGTGCACCCCCTACACAGGGCTTAAACTCTGGGGCTTACAGACAGGAACTGGAAGGACACTGTTAAGAAGCCACCCAGCCTGACCTTGGAAAGAGGTGTGTGAGGCTTGGGCATCCTGTCGGATTTCCGCCAAGAGCAAACACAGGTGGGTGCACCCAGAGGGCTCTGGGGACAAAGGAGGTTCACATGGGACAGGCGGAGAGAGAATGGCTAGCGGAGGGCAGTGGCCTCATGTCCCTGCTTACCAGCATCCGTGCATGGCACCATGCGCCAGTCACACTCTAACACGGATCACTGACCCCTTTCACTGCCCGGATACGAGGTCCTGGAAGGCTATGTGTGCACCGGGGGAAAGACCCTGCTGCTTCCCTGAGTCACTGTCTCACTGTTTCGTGGCCTGGGCCACTGACAGAAACGTCTACTGTCTGACCTGAGTCCTTCGCACTGTAACCTGAGTTTAGTCTTGTCTCAAGGGAAATTGCTTCTGATTTCTCACTACTGACCCAGCTTAGGTGAGACCCCAAAAGCCTCCCCGGGGGCAGCTGTGGGGGGCAGCCTTTGTCCCTCTCTAGGCCTAAGTTTCCTCATTGTCCCTTCCCTAGGGGTGGAGCAGACTCATAGGACAGAGGCCTCGCCTAAGATAGGCCCAGTGAGAGGCTGGCTCTTCTCACTGTGAGTACAGCAAGGATCTAATGCCATGCTCCCCCAGATCATGCTAGACACGCCTTCCCCAGCACACAAGAGCACACAGACCCCCCACGCACACACATGTATACCCAGGATGTGCAGCCACATCTGCACGCACACACGTCCAGGCACCATGACACTTGCACATGATTGGGCACCCACTTGACACATCTCCATGAATTTTCAAACCCATATAGATACACACAAGCAAAAGTAACCCCTCAAACTGACCCATGCCCACCCCACTTGGTCCCGTGAGCACAATCATGAGGGTACACTTGCATATAGGACAAAACATACACTCCCACTCATGCATTCACTTACTATTCATTGAGCAGCACTGTGTCAGCACTGTGTCAGTCAGGCACTGTCTGAGATCCAGGGACACAGTGACGGATGGATAAGATCTGGGTCCTTGCGGGGGGGGGGCGGGGCGGTTGAGTTCACAAATATACACATGCACTTAGGATTGCACAAACACATACAAACATGGAATCACGTGTACACACTCATGCACAGATACATGCAGGACAGCACAGCGGTCACGTCTCTTACCGTAGTTCAGCATGGCTTTGTTTAGTCTGACCACGGTGCCCGGCACAGAGGTGCCAACCATGGGCAGCAACAGTGCCAGCAGCAGGCCCAGCCCACATGCCCGAGCCATGGTAGTCCTGGCCACTGACACCAAGATCTGTGGGCTGGGGTGGGGACAAGCATCAGGGAGCTTTTCCAGAATGCCTCCCCCCCAACCTGGAGGTCGCAAGCCCCGAGTAGAGATCCCAGCCCTGCGCCAGGCCCCACACATCAGTCTTGCATCTCCACTTTGGGAAGAATCACCTTTTCCTGCCTGCTTCATCAGGTACCAGGGAGGGATCTGGTCTGGAAATGGCCCACAAGGCCCAGAGAAGACATGGCCTTGCCTAAGGCCATACAGCAAACTAGGGCCAGTGCAATGCCCAAGCTATGTAAGAGGAAGATGGTGACACTCTCAGATGGGTAGACTAAAGGCAGTTTCCTGTCCCAAGGAGAGAGCCCAGACCCACCACCTGAGGCCTAGGGCTGTGTCATCTGATGCCAGGAATCCAGCCCAATATGATAGTCCAGCCTGGGGTCCAGCCAGAGGAGGACCCAGGGTGGCTCCTGTCCTCATCTCGTCCTGTGCCAGATAAGGAATGTTCCAAAAGTGGGCCTCTTCACTGCCCCCTGGCCTCTCCTGACCCAATCCATCTGAGTGGACAGATCTATGTACGACTTGGGGAGAGGGAGCTAGGAAGGAATGAAGGGCCACTGCTTAGATGGGCTAACTGAGTCCTGATGGGCAACACTTCCCCAGAGTCCCACAGCAAGACCAGGGATGGACCCTTCTGCAGAAGGTGGTTAAAAGTACTGTGCCCATTGAGCAGATGGGGAAGTTGAAGCTCCTCCTTAGAGGAGTGCCAGCCCATGCCCAGTCCTACCTCTGGTGGTTCCTGGAACAGGTAGACTCTCGACGCCAACTTAGCCCTCCTCTGCCCCAGGCAGATGTGACAACTGCTTTATGAGGTTTCCCTGGTATGTAGGACCCACCTGGGAAGGGACATGGGGAGGGACAGGTTTGCTTGTGGTTGCAACTGTTTTCCTTGCAAACATGGTTTATGCCAAAGTGTCTCATCTCGCATGGGGCTGCCACGTAGTAGCCAGGCCCAGCTGCCAACCACTGCAAGACCCTGGGGTTGTGCAGCTTTAGGGCCTCAAAGGCCAGGAGATCTCTGGAAGGAGGGCTGCTCCCAGGAGGGTCCCCTCATCAACCAATCTGGCCTGGCCAGACCCAAGAGGAAGAGGATACCCAAAATCAGGGGGATGGCTGCAGTAACCTCTCGGGCCTGGCGCCTCCAAGCTGGCCCAGAAACATGACCCTTTTAGGAGGAGCAGGAAGCTATCTGAGCCCCAGTGACTGACTGAGCCCTGATCCTGGTTGCAGACTAAGCCCTGGCCCTTGCCATAGACTGAGTCCTTAACCTCATCAGACATTGAGACCTAACTCAAAGGGCAACAGACAACCCCATCTTTGCTACATAACACCCCAGCCTCTCTCCAAATGCACATCCCTCTCAAATGGATTTAGCCCGTTACATCTTTCCACACTACAAACTCCAGGCTCCATCTTGGCTATATGGGTTCCAAGGAGCTGTGTGCACATGAAGGAGTTTGTATATACGTGTGCGTATGAGTGCGTGTTTATGTGTGTATGTGCTTGTGTGCACATAGTCATGTGCACACATGCGCATTAGGTCATAATTACAGGCATCAGAGGAAAGTGTGTGTGTGTGAGTCTGTACATGAAACGAGCATGTTGACATATTGGTTTATGGTGTTACGTGCTTGTTTACTTGACCCTACATGAGTGCAGGTGTGGGGAATTCTGTGTACAGTAGGTGTATGTGGGCTCGGTATACTGAGTGCATCTGTGGGTCTGTGTGTGTATGTGTACATGTATATAGTGACTGTTTCTTGGTTTTAGGGAGGGGTATATGTATTTGTGTGTGTACATACACTTAGGCACAGGAAGTGATGGCACAGCTACAGAGAAGTCCCCTCTGTTTCTCTTTTCTTGTAATTAAATTGATGAGAGTGGCATTGGTCAATAAAATTATACAGGTTTTGAGTGTACAATTCTATAATATATCATCTGTATATTGTATTGTGTGTTCACCACCCAAAGTTAAATTTCATTCCATCGCCATATATTTGACCCCCTTTACCTTATCTACCGTCCCATAACCCCCTTCCCTCTGGTCACCACTAAACTGTTGTTCATATCCATGAATCTGTTTGTTTGTCTTGTTCGTTTGTTGCTTTCAGATTTACATCGCACACATGAGTGAAATCACATGGGTCTCCAACCCTCCATTTCTCTGCATGGCCCACCTGGGGTACAGGCACAAGGGACCTCAGGTCCTTCCCTGACTGCAGAGCCCTCCGTGGCTCCCATCGACTCCACATCAGCCCAAATACCAGGCCCAGAGCCCAAGCCCATGCTGTGCTGGGTCCCCACTAGAACCCATAGACAACACTGAGCTCTCCTTGAAGAGGTCAGAGCTCACCTGGACCAGCCCTGCCTCCTAGCCAGTGCTCCCTGCCCTATTCTATAGGCAAAATGGAATGAGAAGAGCTAGCTGCATGCTCCCTAACACCCTACTCCTAGCCTTAGCTTGTTTACCAATGCTTAAGACTAGCTTTCCTGGCCCTCACCATGACCACAAACAGCAGACTCAGTGTAAAGGGACACAAATATTGACCGAAGCCTCCCTTAGTGTTTGCTCTCCGCATGAACACTTCCTCTTTTTTGGCATTTCCAACACAGGGGACTTTCGGGGACAGCCAGTAGACACAAAGGAGTAAGATTCTCATCTGCCTCTCCTCCCTACAGCAACGGCAAGCACTGTTCAGTGGAAGCTGCTCCATGCAAGCTTTTCTGCCAGCCACTTTACCCTCATCCCCAGGGATGGGAGCTTGTTCTGTTCACCCCCGCAGCCAGTGCCTGCAACATACCTTAATAAGTACTTGTTGAATGAATGAATTAATGTACAATTGAAAGACCCTTGTAACAATTATAGTGGCAGCATTTCAGACTTCCTCTTCACCAAATATTCTTGAGGGTACTATATTAGTCTCCTACTGTTGCTATGATGAATTACCACAAAGTTAGTGACTTAAAACATGAATTATTATCTTATAGTTCTGGAGATCAAAAGTCTAAAGGGGGTCCCCCTGGGCTAAGATCAGGGTATTGGCAGAGCTTTGCTCCTTTCTAGAGGCTCTGGCAGAGGATCTGTTTCCTCGCCTCCATTCCTTGGCTCACGGCCTCATCTTCAAAGCCAGCAAGTCTGGCTGAGTGCGCCTCAGGCTGCCATCTCTCGCCTCTTCTGCTGTCCTCTTCCATTTATAAAGACCCTCGTCATTACACCGGGCCCACCTGGATTATCTAGCATAGTCTCCCATCTCAAAATCATCTGAGTAGCAACCTTAATCCCATCTGCAAGCTTTAATTCCCTTTCGTTATATAACTTAATGCAGGGGTCCCCCAACTCCCAGGCCATGGACTGGTACTGGTACTGGTCCGTGGCCTGTTAGGAACTGGGCCACACAGCAAGAGGTGAGTGGCGGGCCAGCGAGTGAAGCTTCATCTGCATTTGCAGCCAACTCCCCAGCACTAGCATCACCAACTCAGCTCTATCTCAGACCATCAGGCATTAGATTCTCATAAGACTGTGGCATCAATTTCCTTCTCTAGAACAGGGCGTCGAAATAGCTGAGGACCACTGACCTAACATATATTCACACGTTCAGGTTTTAGTACACAGACTTTTTTGGAGGACCATTATTCGGCTCACCACAGGTACTTAGCCTGCAATTTGAGCAACTGCACTAGGAGGCAAGAGTGAATTCATTTCAGCTTCACACTCCAGATAGGCTCTCCATAGGCAGGGCTGAAAGGAAAAAAACGTAGCCAGATATTTCCACTGTTATGCTTCTGTTTTTTACCCCAGTGAAAAGTAGGACTTTATTAAAACAACGGCATGCATACATTCTTTTGTGTGATGCAAAACATCCACCAATGAGAAGCTCAGCATTATAAAATGCATTCACGTACAACCGAGGAAGGTAGCAAGTCTGGGAAGCTTAGATGTTGGATGTGGCCTAGATATTGGAGCCTCGCCTCAGCTCATGCCCCTGCCCAGTCTCTGAGACCCTGGCATGGCCCTTTCCATCTTGAGGCCTCAATTTCCCCAACTTAAAAGTTTGTCAGAATGGGTTCTACCAAGAAGAATTTCAGGGCTGAGCTAGAGACTGGGCAGCTCCCCACCCCCCCGTACCTGCTCTATGAGGTCACAGTACCAACAACTCTGCTTGACCCAGGCAGATTCCACAGGGCACCTTCCAGGGAACACTGGGAGGCAGCAGCAGCAGCCACTTCTTCCTCGACAGCTCCCAGAGCCCCACCACCATTCCTCCGTCCTAGAGAAGGAAATTGATGCCACGGTCCTCAAGGAGCCCCAGGGACCTGTGTGACCCACCTGACGATGTGGTCCACGTCTATAGGAATCCCAGGCCCAGGAGGTGAAGACAGGAGCCCCTCCTCTGCTCTGCCCTTTATAGTTTACAAAATGCTGCCCCTCTGCCCTCTCCTTGGAGGCGATGGGCTTTACTACCTGCACTTTATAGATGCAGCAGCAGAGGTCAGAGGGGTTTGACAGTGGCATTCCCTAGAGCCTCCCAGCCAAGAAGTGGTAGAGCAGTCACTTTTTCAGCCTGTGTTTATTGAACGCCTATTGTGTGCCAGACACCGGGCAGAGTGCTGGGAGCACAGTGTCGCACTTGGATTTGGAGTCAGCCAGACATGGGTTCATTCCTGATCCACAGGCTGGTGATATTGGGAAACTTCTCTGCAACTCAGTTTCTCGATCTGTATTGTGGGGACATGCTGTTCCTTGTGAATCATAAAATGCCATTGTGAATCTTGTCAGCCCCAGGGTCATCCAACGAGGCCGGAACATCTGCAGGATAACAGAGGAGTCCTTGTCAAACACGAGTGAGCAAGGAGGGGAGAGGGGAGCCCTGTGGTCTCTGTGGGCAGCAAGGGGCTGAGGCTCAGAGATGTCAGATGGGCAACCAAGAGTCACTGACAAGAGAGAGGGCAGGGGGCAAGGGTGCTCGCATCAAGCTCTAGGTGCTCCCCTGGCATCTGCAAACACATGTCCCAGAGGCCGGCAGTGACATGACAGCACTGTGTTTTCTGCAGATGATGCCTTCCTGTTGCCAATCCGCTTCAATACCCCAGTACCAGGCCTGATTCAGTGCATACTGGGATGTATGTGTACGTATATACTGAAGAGCCACCTTGGCCATCAACGTGGGCCTGGGGAGAGGACTTAGCCTCAGGCCAGGCTGACCTGTGGGGTGGGGTGTCAGGTCTACACTGGTTGCAGGGGAGGGAAGAAGCCACAGGTTGAGCTCTAGTAGTCTCCCCTTCAGAGGTGGGGTGTCAAGGGTGTAATTCCAGCTAGGATTTCTTCGGTGGTTGGAGAGAGGTAGTAGGAGGGAGACTTGCAATTTGGAGGATAAGCTAACTGCCAGCCCTCCCCTGCTCTGCCACCAGCCTGGCCACTGGGCCAGGAGGCCGCTGGTGAAGTCGTGGGAATGTTTTGGTGCAACTCATCCTTACTTCAGGGACATGGTTCTGACCACACCCTGAAGATCGGTCTTCTACTTCTATGTTCATCCACCCATCTCTCCACTTATTCATCCACAAAGTCATTTATCCAAACATCAGTTCACATATCCATGTATTGTAATATCCATGAGTTCACCCATCGATCATACACCGAGTCATCCATCAATTCACTGAGACCTTTATTTGTTAATATTCACATCCATTCAGTTATCCACCCATCCATCCTCCTATCCTTCCTCTCATTCTCCCATCCTCTCAGCCATCTTTCTATTCATCCATCTTCCAGACCATTCTCTTACCCATTCTTCTATCCCTCTATGTATCCTCCCACCTACTCATCTTTCCTCAATTCCTGCTTTTTGCCTAGCTCCATGTTTGGCATCACTGGGTACCCAGGATGAACCAGACAAGGACTCTGCCCTTGAGAAGCTCCCAGTGTCTAGGAATGGGCATTCGCACATCCCAGACTTTTTGTGCTCCTGTGTCACTATTAAGAATCTGTTAACTGCCAATTGCAAGTAGCACTCACCTACAGGATTCATGCTCACTCCAAGCTGGCACTTACTCACAAGTAGAGCAGGACTGCCCTGGGCTCAACTAGCAAGTTGAGGAAGTCTCTCAGCTCCAGGGTCTACCCGCAGCTCCAGGACAGTCAGTGAGTCATTGTCAGCTAAGGGTGCAGCTACTCACTGGTCTCCTGTCTTCTCTGCAGCCTGGATCACCTGCTTGGCCTGCTTCTTGAGGACTCAGGCCCACCAAGTTCTATTCAACACCTGCAGGTGAGCAGGGGCAGGTGACCGGAAGGTGATGGGGGCTGAGACCATGCAGCTGGTGACTACAGCAGCCCCCTCACTGGTTTGAAACTTCCCATGGTCTCCAGACCAGATTAGCTATCCCAAACCTGACTTTTATCAGATCCCCTCACTCCAAAACCTACTGTGGTTCACCATTGCTCCAGCACTTCAGCCTGCAGCCCTCTGAATTCCTGCCCCACCCTTTCTTTCTGAGCTGCCCTCATTTTGATTCCCATTGGGCCAGCAAGGCTAGGGTTCTCATCTTCTGGGCCCACGATTCCTATTCCCACCTCCACATCCTTGCACATGCAGTTTTTCCTGCCTGGAATGCCTGCTCCATCCCTTCCCTTTACCCTTCCTGCCCCTGCAAACTCCTCTGAATTCCTGCAGAGATTTCTGCTTCATTCATTCACTTGCAGTTTATGTGCTGGACATTTCCTGAATGCCTACTCTGGGCTCAGCCTTGGCTCCTAGAACACAAGAGCTCACAGTTGGGTAGGAAAGGCAGATACCCAAACTGGGAGTGTGGGGAGTATGACTCTGGCAGTTGAAGGAGAGGAGGGGACATTTGGGCTGAACTCTAAAAGGTGCATTCACCAGGAGAGAAGACAGGAGGGAACAAACAGTACGTAGATGGAGAAAGGGAGTGATGAGGATGAAGCTGACCACTGTTGATCTCTGATGGCCCCAGGTGCTGGGGTAAGCCTGTGATGCTGTGGAGCATCTTAGAGAGGGTGTCACTGCCCAGAGAAGGACCTGCCCCTCAGGGTGGGAAAGGGACAAGGGCCAGGCTGTGACTGGCCAGCCTGTGCAAAGCCCTGCCTCACCTTGACCACTGCTTCTCTGTCTTCCAGATGCAAACTGCTCTTCCAGAAGCTCATGGAAAAGACAGGTGTCCTGGTCCTCTGTGCTTTTGGTGAGTCTCAGGGCTCTGCCCCCACCCAGATGGAGGTAGCCCTGGCTCTTGCTCATTCTAGGGAGAGAAAGAATGAGGGCTCTGGCACTGAGTATGTGACAGTGGGCGAGACGCTGTCCCTCTATGAGCCTCAGTTTCCCCACTTGTCTAATAAGTGTTGCTGTGAGGATTAAATGAAATGATGGCCAAGAAAAAATTTTGAAAGCTAAGAGCTTTACACTTTTACTTTCAAAACTGTAAAGCTCTCCCCAAACCTGTTACAATAATTATTACTCCTCTCTGGATTTCTGTGGCTTCTTTCCAGCTACTACCACCACCTCCCATGTCACAGCTCTGCTATCTCAAGCAAAGGAATCGCCTCCCCTCAGATGTTGGTGGGTGGGGGCTAGCATGGATATCTTAGGAAATTAGAAATTCCTAGAAAACTTAACCCAACAAATAAGATTATTTAAAATAACAGCTTTACTGAAATACAATTCACATACCAGAAAATCACAATTTTAAAGTATATAATTCAGTCACTCTTAGTATATTTACAAAATTGCACATCCCTCACCACTATCAAATTCTAGTATTTTCAGTACCCCAAAAAGCAACTCTTCAGTTCCTGGCAGTCATTCCTCATTCCCCCTCCCCGCAGATTTAGGCACCACTAATCTATTTTCTGTCTCCATGCATTTGCCTATTCTGGACATTTCATATAAATAGAATCATACAATATGCAATCCTATGGCTTCTTTCAAAGTTTACCCATGTTGTAGCATATATCAGCGTTTCATTCCTTTTTATAGCTGAAAATATTCTGTTGTATGGTTACACCACAGTTTGTTTATCCACTCATCAGTTGAGAGATATTAGGGTTGGTTCTGCTTTGGGGCCATTATTAACAATGCTGCTATGAACATTCCTATAAAATTTTGTGTGAACATGTGTTTTCAGTGATCTTGGTAAAGAATTACTGAATCATATGGTAACTCTATGTTTAATCCTCTGAGAAATTGCCAAACTACTTTGCAAAGCAGTTGTACCATTTTAAATTCCCACCGGAAAAATATGAGGGTTCCAATTTCTCCACATTCTCATCAAGACTTGTTATTGTCTGTCTTATTTTATCCATCCTAATGGGTATAAAGTGGTATCTCATTGTGATTTTTATTTCATTTCCCTAGTGATTAGTGATGGTGAGCATCTTTTTATGTGCTTATTGGCTACTTATATATCTTCCTTGGAGAAATATCTATTCAGATCCTTGCCCATTTTTGAATTGGGTTCTTTTATTATGGAGTTGTAAGAGTTTCTTACAGTCTGGATACAATTCCCTTATCAGATAATATAATTTGAATATGTTTTCTCTCATTCTGTCAATTCTCTTTTTAATTTCTTGGTGGTGTCCTTTGCATCACAAAATTTTTAAATTTTGGTGAAGTTTGATTTATCTATGTTTCCTTTCGTCATTTGTGCTTTTGGTGTCATATCTAAGAAACCATTGCTTAACCCAACACCTTGAAGATTTACTATCATTATTTCTTCTAAACTATTTATAGCATTAATCCTTTCATTTAGGTTCATGATCTGTTTTTGAGTTAATTTTTCTATATGGTATGACGTAAGGGTCCAACCTTATTCTTTAGAACACAGATATCCAGTTGTTTCAAAATCATTGATTGAAAAGACCATTCTTTTCCCCCATTGAATTCTCTTGGTGCCCCTTGTTGAAAGTCAATTGACCATAAACTTGAGGGTTTAGTTTTAGACTTTCAATTTTATTTCATTGATCTATATGTCTTTCTGTTTGCCAGTACTACCCTAGATTGATTGCTATAGCTTTGTAGTAAGTTTTGAAATCTAAAGTGGGAGTCCTCCAACTTTGTTCTTTTCAAAATTGTTATGGCTATTATGGATCCTTTGGGCCTCTATATGAATTATCAACTTTTTTATTTCCAAAAAAAAAAAAAATAGGCCATTGGGAGTTTGATAGGGATTGCACTGATTCATAGATGAATTTGGGAAGTAGTGTTAAGTATTGTTAGAGTGTTAACAATATTGTCTTCTAATCAATGAACATGGGCTGTCTTTCCATTATTGATGGATATCGCTACGTCTTAATTTCTTTCAATGATGTTTTATAGTTTTCAGAGTGTAAATTTTTACTTCTTTTGTTAAATTTATTTCTAAGTATTTTATTCTTTGACATGTATTATATATGGAATTGTTTTCTTAATTTCATTTTCAGATTGTTCATTGCTAGTGTTTAGAAATACAATTGATTTTTGTATACTAATCTTGTATGTTGCAACCTTGCTGAACTCACTACTTCTGACACTGGGAAAGACACAGTCTTGAATACTTTAGGATTTTATATGCAAGATCACATCATCTGCATTTTTTTTCTTTTTCTTGACTAATTGACCTGGCTGGAGCCTCCAGGACAATGTTAAATAGAAATGGCAAGAGCAGAAATCCCTGCCTTGTTCCTGATCTTAGGAAGAATGCATCCGATCTTTCACCAATAAGTATGGTGTTAGCTATGGGTTTTCATAGATGGCCTTTATCAGATTAAAGAAGTTCCTTTCTATTCCCAGTTTGTTGAGTGTTTTATCATGAACAATAAATATGCCTTTTAAATTTATTTATTTTAATTAGTTTCAAGTATACAGTACATTGGTTAGACATCTATATAGTTCGTAAAACGATCCCCCCAATTGCTCCCTCCCTCCCTGACCCTCCACCCGGCCAACGTATTTTTTTTAAATTTTTTAGGCAAGGCAACCCTTGGTTGACCTCACAGATTGCAAGGATCTTGTCATCTTACAATCCCTTATTTTTTTATTTTTTACACCTACAGCACCTGGTCTTCCTAGGTAGTCTCCCATCCAGTACTAACCAGGCCTGATCCCGTTAGCCTCCAAGATCAGACAGAATCGGGCTTGTTCAGGGTGGCATGGCCGTAGACCCTAGCCAACGTATTAATGCCAACTGCATTCCCTAAGCCATGCACCCCATCCCCATGAGCATCCATCACCTACTAATTTGTACTTCTTTAACCCTTCACCCCATTCTCCCAGCCCCATTAACCCTCACCCCTCTGTCCGTCACCAAATTGTCCACTATATTCGTGAGTCTGTGTTTGATAGTTTGTTCTTTTTATTCCTTAGATTCTGCATATAAATGAAATCATATAGTGTTTATCTTTCTCTGTCTGACTTAAATACCTTCTAGGTCCATCAAAGCAATCTCTTTTTTCTATTTCCTTCCTTTTCATATGTTGTAGGGGTCTTGTTTTCTTATCCTTTCAGCCACTCTATCTTTTGGTTGGAGCACTTAATTCTTTTCCGTTTAAGGTACTTATTGATAGGAATGTAGCTGTTATCATTCTTTATTCCCATTTTTGACACATGTTTTTTCTTCTTAAAGAAGTCCCTTCAACATTTCCTGTAATGCTGGCTTGGTGGTAATAAATTCCTTTAGCTTATTTTTGTCTGGGAAGCTCTTTATCTGTCCTTCAACTCTAAATGATATCTTTGCTGAATAAATTATTCTTGGTTGTCGATGCTGGGTCTTCATCCTGTCGAATATTTTTTGCCAAGCCCTTTTGTCTTGCATAGTTTCTTTTAAGAAATCAGCTGCCAGTCTTATGGGTGTTCCCTTATAAGTAATTATCTGTTTTTCTCTTGCTGCTTTTAATGTTCTTTCTTTGTATTTAACCTTTGGTATTTAATTATGATGTGTCTGGTGTGGGCCTCTTTGGATCCCTGATTTTTTTAATTCTCTGAGCCTCCTGGGGTTTTATGTCCATTCCCTTCACCAGATTAGGGAAGTTTTCCATCATTATTTCTTCAAACAGCTGTTCAACATCTTGATTTTCTTCAGATATACCAATCAGATGGATATTTGGACCCTTAATAGTGTCCCACATGCTCCTTAAATTATTTTTATAGTCTTGGCATCTTTTTTCTTGCCATTCTGATTGCATGTCCTTGGCTTTCCTGTCCTCTAGATAAGGCATTTGATCTTCTTTTTTATTCACTTTGTTTATTCCTTTGTTTATTCCATTTAATATACTTCTCATCTCAGATGTGTTCCTCATTTTAGACTGGTTCCCTTATAAAATTTCCATTTCCATTTATATGTTTTTTATCTCTTTGTTGAAGTTCTCCCTGACTTTATCTACACTTCCCGAAAGTTTATTGAGCATCTTTATAACCAGTGTTTTGAACTCTGCATCTGTTAGATTACCTGACTCCGTTATATCTGGATCTCTGTTCTGTGCTCTCATATGGCCTCTACCTCTTTGTCCTCCCATTTTAGCTGCCTTTCCGTGTCTGTTTCTATGTACTAAGCAAAGCTCCTAAGTCTCCTGGTCTTATTAGTGTGAATTGCTGTGCTTATAGTTGCCTCAAAAGGCCACACCAGAAACTGAAGCCAGCTGCCTCCAGTGTGAGTCTAGGCGCTGCTCAGCAAGGAGCACCTGACTCACTGAGGATATACCTGGATGTGGCTTGGGTGGAGCTGTAAGTTGGGACAGGCGGGGTTTCAGGGAATCCTCTGGGTGGAGTGACTTCTGTTATCCAGTTTGATGACGTCACAGCTATGGCAGTGCTGTCTGCTCACCGGGAGGAGGGAGGGCTCAGCAGGGAACATAGATACCTCTGGCACTTCTATACCCAGCAAGTTTTGCCTAGGCCCTCACTCTGACAATGTCTCCCTGTAAGTCCCTGGTGCCCCTGCACGCAGTCAAATCAGCACTGGTGCTCAGAGTGAGCAGGTCCATCACTGCGAAAATGACACGGCCCCTTTAAGAGGCGTCTGCCATTGCTACTGCCGCAGCCTCTGTCTCACTCAGCTGCTCAGGACCGGGCAGCCCTGGGCCCTCTCCCCGTCCTACCTTCTGCCATTGCACGGTGCTTTCTTGGACTTCTCTCTAGTTGTATGATTTGTTCCTCTAGATCCCAGGCGATTTTTCCTTGCTGCTGCTCCTTGTTTCCATCACAACTTTGATTTGGTTGCCAGAGGGATGAACATCTATGCCATTTTTTTCCTCAGAACAACAAATAGGTTTTAAAAGCTTTTATTAATAACTTGAACAGTAGATTTCAGGCACTACAGACATCATAAAATGAAGGGAGGCCACCCCTTTTCTTCTCTTTTTCTCTTTGCCAATTATCCCCAGTAGGATTGGGACAGGGGAGGAAGAAGAGACATGATTTTTTGGTTTATGAGGGATACTTTGCATTATAATATCCAGTCATGAAGTGGATATATCTGTTATCCTATCTTACCAATGAGGAAACTGAAGTATAGAGAGGTTAAGTAAATTATACCAAAGTTGCACAATGTTAGTAATGTTAGTAAGGGGCAAAGCTGGGATTTGAACCCAGATACCTTTAGTCTAGAGTCCAAGCTCTTAACCTTTGACCTTAAATGGCTCATTCTTATTCCCCTGGTCCCGCAGGATTCTGGGTGTTTTCTATGCACTTACCATCCCAAGTGCAAGTCTGGCAGGTGAGTGTGGCTCTCTTCAGGCCCCACTGCTGATTGGCCTCACCCCAGCCAATCAATGTCACCTCCATAAGCTCCTCTCACTCTCACCACATCTGGCTGCTAATTAGTCGCAGACATCCCAGCTCTAAACCTCTGCCTTTACCCTGCCACCCACCTGGAACCCATTTGTCCCACCAAAATGTAACTTTCAAAGACCAGATGTAATTAGTCATTCCTACAGGATGCCTCTTCTGTCACTTCCTCCCAGAAGTAAACTGTCTTTCCTTTATCAAGGCTCCCACCTAAAGTGAAATGGTAAGGATGGAGAACACACTTTTATCTCCACTCAAGGCAGTTTGTTCTTCTGCTCAAATGGGATAAGACCATTTGCCTTGTGGTTCCTGGACAGGAAAGAAGAGAAAATCAGTGGCCAGAGCTCCCTGTCTGAGGACAGCAAAGAGCCTCTGAAGACCTAGAGAGAAAAGGAATCTGCTGGCCTGTCCCTCTTTCTTTCTTTCTCCCCTTATGAACTCCTTCGTATCCTTCAAGATCCAGCTAAACTGTCACCTCCTCCAGAAACACCCAGCAGTGATGGCCACATTCCCCTCCTTCCTCCCATGATTTTCTATAATCCTGAATGTAATTTTCTGTAATTATAACTATTTCTCCAACTAGACTGGCAGCCCTTAAAGGCAGAGCCAGGCCTGATTCATTCCAGTAATGTCTACCTCAGGGCCAGGCGTCGGGTTGCCATTACCAATGTTGGATGGCTGGATGGCCAGATGGGAGTGTGAATGGACAGATAATGGATGGGAGAATGAACGTGATGGATGTAAGGTGGGGGGGGGAGTGGTTGGAGGATAGGCAGATAGATGAATGAATGAAAGAATGGATGGATGAGAGAATGGATAGAGGGGAGGACAGACGGAATATATGGGTGGATAAATGGAAGGATGGATGGTAGATGGGTGGATGGATAGAAGAGTAAATAAGAAAGTAGATGAGTAAGTGAGTTTATGGTTGTGGAAAAATGAATGGATGTAGCTCTATTGATTAGACCATCTAAAAGAGATCCTTTGCTTTCCTCAACACCCCACTAGGATAACAGCATAAATAGCCCGCTGCAAAGCTTGAGGTAAGAAGAATCTGCTAAATAGTTCTATTAACACCTAAAAACTAGAGCTATAGCCAGGACCTGGGATGTATTGTCTAATAATGTGAGCTCTGAAGTCAGACCAACCTAGGTTTAAATCCCAGATCCCATACTTCCTACCTGGCTAAATTTATGAAAGTCTCTTTACCTCTTTGGGCCTTTGACTCCTCATTTATGAGATGAGGTATAACACCCACCTTGCTCTGGGTAACTATGGGTATTTAAGAGGTTGTAAACTGTCTTGAATAATTCCTGGACCATCTGTACTACTCAGCAGATGATAGCTGAGAAGAAAATTTAACCTGGTGGCAGCATTCTTAATTGCAGACAAAATACTCAGGAATGTTTGGAAGGAATGAGCTGGGTTTAAAGATATTCCAAGCAGGAGGAAGAGCACAAGTAATGTTTTAGAGATAAGAATCTGCTGAGTAGATCCAGGAATGGACCCAGGAGAGTGGAAAAATGTGAAGCTAGTTCTTTGTCGGCTGCTTGGCAAAGTTAGAAGCTGAGGGTGACTGACGTTGGCAGCATCACAAATCTGTCCATATTCTCACTCCTTCCTTGTAAGAATGTATCAGGAAAAAGTGCGACATCACACTGGGGAAATCCAGGACCTTCGAGGTAATATGAACCAGCTCATTGCCAAGCTCCAGGAGATGGAAGCCATGTCAGATGAGGTGAGATGCTGGCCATTCTGCCCCCTAAACACCTAACTTCTCTCTTTGTTCAATGTCCTGTTTCCTATATCCCAAGTTTTGGTGGAGCACATCCCCAGTAACTTCCTGGAAAAGAGTAGGATAGAGATAGATTTATTTTTTTAGAGCTTGCATGTTTGAAAATGTCTTTATTCTACTCTTACGCTTGATTGATAGTTTGGCTGAGTATAGAATTCTAGATAGGAAATAGTTTTCTCTGAGAATTTTGAGAGAAGCCCACTATAGTATTCTAATGTATACTGTTGCTGTTGAAAGGTCTAATGGGACTTTGGTGCCTTGGGTGTGGCCTGTTTTTTTATCCTTAGAAAGTTCTAGGATAGTTTTTTTTTATCCCCAGTGTTCTATATTTAACCTGTTTTGGGGGGTTGTTGAACTTATTGAGTCTATGGATTGATGTTTTTCAATAGTTTTTGAAAATTCTTAGCTATTATCTCTTAAAGTGTTGCTTCTTCCTCATTATCTATCTACTCTCCTGAGATATGAATTACATCTATGCTAGACCTTTAGAGTGTGTTCCACATAAGTGCTATAATATTACCTGGTTGGTTTGTTTCATTCTTTTTCTCTATGTGCTTAAGTTTTGATATTTTCTTTTCACATTTCTTTAGGTTCACTAATAATCCTGTATTCTGTTCTGTCCAATCTTTTCATTAAGGTCTTAATGTCACATATTGCATTGTTTATTCTAGAATATACATTTGATTCTTGTTTATAGATTTTAATCCCATGGTGACACTCTAACATGTTTTCTATCTTTTTCTTTATTTTATTTAACACACTTGTCATAGTTATATTAAAATCCGTAACTGCTAAATCCAGCATCTGGATCATCTATGGTCTCCTCTTGTCTGTTTTTTTCTTTGAGATATCAATCATATGGCGGCTGTGCCTCTTTGTGTCTAGTAACTTTTTAGTGTTTTCTGAACATTGTGTACAAAAGCACTGTAGGTGATCCAGATAATTAAAACTTCTACCCGTGAGAGTTCCTCCTTTTCTTTGTAAGAAATACAAAATACACTGATAACTTCTATGTAGACATACATTGAGCTGGTTCAGACCTGGATTGCAATTTTTATAAGATTTAGTCAGAGATTTTCAGCTTAACCCTTTAGCCTTCTGCCCATGCAGTTTCAAATATTTGGTAAATGTCTTGATGGGAAAGAATGACCATATGTTTGAGGCCTCTTGAGTCTCCAATTTTGTCTTCCAGCCCTGCAAAAACACAAAATCTCTGACCCCAGTAGCACCCTTCTCTGCCAGGGACAAGCTTGGATTCTCAGCCTCTAATTATGTCTATAATTGGTTTAGTGCCCTCAGGTGAAGTACAGCTGTAGCTACTCAGTACTGATTTATAACTCCTTCTAGAGTAGTGGTTCTCAAAGTGTGGCCCCCATACCAGCAGCATCAGTATTACCTGGAAAAATGTTAGAAATTCAAGTTAATGGGCCCCACCCAGACTTACTGAATCATATACATCCTTTGAGGATAGTATCCAACTATCTGTATTTCAACAAACCCTCAAAGTGATTCTGATACATACTGAGGAGAATCACTGTTCTAAGGCTATAATCTCTTGCTTGTTTCGTTTTTTTGGCAGGGCAGCTGGGGAGGCGCTCCTTCAAAGGGACCTTGTTTCCTAAGCATTATGAGACCGGAAAGTTTTACTCTGTCTTTCAGACACTTTCAAATAGCCCTTTAGCCTCTTACATAGTCTTGGGTTTCATTTAACATCTTATGGGGGAAATTGGCAAGATTTGAGGCTCCTCAAGTTCTCCAGTGTTGTTCCTTTAGCCCTGTGTGACTGTTAAAAACTTTGCTTCTTTCTCTTTCACCTGTAGCAGCCTAATCTGACCTAATCCCAGATTCTTAGCCCATACCCAGAATCATCAAATGCCCCCATGTATTTTTAAAAATTATATATTGTCAGCGCATCTCAGAAAGTTTCTCCCCGTCTAGAATTTTAATCCACCTGGTCCTTGTTGCTTCCATGGCTCCATAATGGCTTTAAAATATAATTTAGTGAACTACCTAGCTTTTCCTGGTTGTTTTTAGTGGGAGCATTGGTCCTCTATAACTCACTACATCTTACCTTACATCTGAAATGTCATGATAATATGCCTGTGGGCTGGCCACCCTCGGGCCCCTTTCATTCTGGAAACATGTCCTTTAGTCCTAAGAAACATTCTTTAATCATGTGATTAAATGAGTGGTTTATCTTCCCAGCCCTGGTTGTTCTGTTCTCATTTTTGAAACTCCTATTATTTGGATGTCCAATTTCTAAACTAATCCTCTGGGGGCTTTTCCTTCTGTTTTCCTCTATTTGTCTTGTTGTTCTACAGTTGAGAAAATATTCTCAGCTTTATCTATCAAAACTTCCACTGAGTTTTTCATTACTATTAACATATTCTGAATTCCTAAGAATTTTCCTTTTGTTCTGTGGGTGTTCCTTTTCATAGAATTACATTCTCATTTAATGAATGCAATATTTTTTCTTACCATTTGGAGCTCAGGCAGGTTATCAATCTCTCTGAGCTTCAGTTTCCACATCAACAAAATAGAGTCATAATCACTGCTCTGTAATGCCTACTACTGCTGCGTAACAAACTTACTGGTACAAAACAACCATTTTATTATGCTCAGAGATTCTGTAGGTCAGAAATTCAGACAGGACACTGCCCCACGATGTCTGAGGAACACGTGAAGTCTGGGGGTGACTCGACAGCTGGACCTGGAATCATCTAGGGGTGTCTTCACTCACATATCTGAAAGTTGATGCTGGCTGTCAGCTGGGAACTCAGGGCTGTTGACAAAAGCACCCAAATGTGGCCTCTCCATGTGGTCTGGGCTTCCTTACAACATGGCAGCTGGCCTCCAAGAGTGAGTGCCCCAGAGAACCAGTCAGTGCCACATCACCTCTTAGGACTTAGCTCAGAAGTCACATAGCGTCTCTTCTGCCATAATCACAAGCCCACTCAGACTGGTGGGGAGAGTACTTAAGTCCTATCTTTCAATAGAAAGAGCATTAACATCACATTGAAAGAAGAGTGTGGAATGGGAGACCTCTTTAAAATGGGGATGATAATAGTACATACCTCCTCGGGTTGCTAAGGGGATAAGAGCAACATATGTGATACTAAGGAGACCTGGCACAAAGCAGCGACTTTACAAGTCTTAGCTCTAATACACACCACATTAGAAGGTGGACATGATTATCGTCCCATCTTACGGACGAGAAAATCGAGACTCAGAGGGGCAGTAACTAGCCTAAAGCACCTCAGCAGTAAAGGTCTGCCTGATTCCAGGCCCCTTGCCCTTAACTTCTCTAAGACTCTAGTCCCATGTGTGACACCCTGTCATGGTGGGTGTCACATGAGTAAACCGAATGGGTGGGGTGGGGCAGCTCTGTGTTACCTGGGATTCTTCACAGTATAGGCCCTGAGAGGTCCTGTGAGTGGACCAGCCATGGCTTCCACATGCAGCGATAAGCAATTAAAGGCAAGAGAGTGTCCTGCGGCCACCTGTCACCTGGTGTGAACACACCTATGGATCATGGTCTGTAAGAACACATAGCACACAACTTGTTTTCTGCCTTTTCAGCAGAAACTGGCCCAGAAAATAATGAAGATGATACAAGGAGATTACATTGAAAAGCCGGATTTTGCCCTAAAGTCTATAGGTAAGGGCCTCCCACCCCAATCTGCCCACTTCAAGTTTCCTCAGAAACTCTTCAGAGGGTGGATTTCAGTTCTGGTCTGGTACACCCTCTGCTTCTGGAAAGTCCATCTTCAGAGCTAACCTCTGCTCCCCAGCTGGTTTTCTTGCTATAATTTTCTTTTTTTTTAAATGGGGTCGAAACAGAGAAGGGAAGCCCTCCACCACCCCTTCACCTACTCAGCACTCCCTAAACCCAGAGGTCAGCAGAGCTTTGTTGCCCCAGGTAGGGGAGACTAACCACATAAAAAAAAATAATAATAGTCCAGGCCCAATGACAGCTGGGAATATGTGCTTTGGAAAAATAAAGCAGGTGGCTGGCAAAGAGGGGACCTGGGCAGAGGGGTTGAGGGGAGGACATTTGGGCTGAAACATGGTGAGGAGGGAAAAGCATTCCAGACCCAGAAACCATTATGAAAGGTGCCCCTATGGGGATGCAGCAGGAACAAGTGGTGCACGGGAGGAAGGGAGGCCGGGCCGGCAGGGTGGATTGACCCAGCCAGGCAGCATCAGCTGACCAGGTATCCCCAGGCCCAAGGAGATGTGGGGTCAGAGGCTGTCAACTTGACCTCTCCAGGCCAGAGTTTCCTCCTCTAGGAAATGGGTCTGATGATAGCCATAGTAATGATAACCATGCTGACATAAGTGAGCGCTGACTCTGTGCCAAGCACTGCTGGGCAAACGCTTTGTTATATTAACTCATTTTTCCTCACAACCACCCTATAAGGTGGATGCGGTCTAACATTACCACTATTATTGTTACTATTATTACTCCCATTTCCCAGAGAAGAACACTGAGGTCCAGAGAAAGCCGGTGACTCATCCAAAGCTCTTACCTAGCACATAGTCAGTCCACAATCAGTGAGGCTCTCCACCAGGCAGAAGCCAGGGCTGCTCTGCTAAGGCCCCCCTCCTCCACCTCCCACGCAGGGGCATCTATCGACTTTGAGCAAACATCGGCCACATACAACCACGACAAGGCTCGCTCCTACTGTAGCTGGATCCGGCTATGGAACTATGCACAGCCCCCGGACGTGATCCTTGAGGCAGGGGGAATGGCGGGACAAGGGGAGACTGGCGGGGATGTAGTCAGGGTTCTGGGGACAGCAGCTGAAAGCTGAGGTTGGGGGTGAGAGTGAAATGGGTGGGGCCTGGTGTGGGGTTCAGCATAGGAGCAGGAGACAGAGATAGGGCAGGGGCAAGGAGCAAAGGAAGGAGGCAGCTGGGGAGAAGGCAGGAGGCAAGGGTGGGAGGCAAGAACAGATGACAGGGACCACTGAGGTTCTGGGCAGGAGTGGGGGACAGGCACAGGGACAGGGACAGCCTGCTTTAGCACTGAAAGGGCCCCCTCCAACCCAGCCCTCAAGAGTAAGAGTTAGGGAAACCTCAAGGCCCCAAGCAGGCCCCCATCCTCACTGCGCTGGGCTGAGGCGAAAGCTTATCCTTGCTGCCAGGAGCCAGGGGAACTTTCTGGAATTGGTGGTACTCAAGCCAAGCTTTGTAGATAGGAAGGACTTGGCTCATACAGGAGAGCCGAAGTCTAGGGGAGCCAGGGTGGGATTAAAAATCTGCCCTCACCCACCTGCCCAGCATAGCCCCCATTTGTACCTGCCCCTTTCAGCCCAACGTGACACCTGGCAACTGCTGGGCCTTCTCGGGTGACCGCGGCCAGGTGACCATCCGACTGGCCCAGAAGGTCTACCTGTCCAATCTGACACTGCAGCACATCCCCAAGACCATCTCGCTGTCGGGCAGCCTGGACACCGCCCCCAAGGACTTTGTCATCTATGTGAGCATGCCCCAGCAGAGAGCAGTGCTTACCTAAGGGGACAGCCTCATAAGAGCAGTATTCTGTGCACTGTCTGTACAACTCATGCAGACTAGAAGGGCTGGATGAGGCTTCGGTAAGGCTGGGAATGGCCAGGCTTGGGGTCAGATCTCAGCCTTCAAGGATAGGGGATAAACAGCTACTTTATTTCAACCCGAGCTTATCAGAGCCAATTTAGTCTTCAGAGACTACTGAGCCCCATTTTACTGATAAGAAAACTGAGGTCCAAAGAAGGGTCAGGGAAACACCTAAATCCTACAAGTCAATGGCAGAGTTAGAATTGGACCCTCAGCCTTCTGACTCCCAGTCCAGTGTTCTTTCCTATCCGTTATTCTGTGCTTCAGTGGATTTGTCCCCAAAGAGATAGGGAGCTCCCCATTCTGGGAAATGTGCAAGTCTTGGCTGGAGAGGGGTGGCATCCATCAAAGGCCCTGTCTGTACCTAAAACTTTCTCCTCGATTCTGATTCCACAGGGCATGGAAGGCTCCCCGAGAGAGGAGGTGTTCCTGGGGGCATTTCAGTTTCAGCCAGAAAACATCATACAGACGTTCCGGCTCCAGGTACCTGAGAACAGCTGCCCATGCTGAGCACCTACTGAATACACACTGTGTGCAGGGCTTTACCCTGGGAACCCCACTTCATCCCCTAACAGCCCCAGGAGGCATACAATTATCACTAACTCACATATGAGGAAACTGAGACTCAAAGTAGGGGACCCACTGCCCAAGGCCAAGAGTGGGACCCTAGGAGACCCAGCCAGCCTCTGGCAGTGCTTCATTTCCCTCATCTGCCCAGGAGCCCTCCCAGGGGAAGCAGATATTGAGCAAGAGGGGCCTGTCAGACCAGGGATGCTGGCTTCAAACTTAGCATCTCCATATTGAGAGGTCCATCATCAGCACCTGGTCCAACCACAGATGGGGAAGCTGAGGCCTGGAGGGAAGGCAGCTGGGGACAGAAGCAAGACCAGAGGGGTGGTTGCTTGAGTGGCCCTGAGACTCAGCGGAATGTCTAGGCTTGGAAATCAGGCTGATACTGGCCCAAATCCCATTCCAACCACAAATTCTGTGTAATCTGGGCCATTCCCTTCCTTACCGGGCCTCAGTTTCCCCTTGTGTAACTCCCTGGGAGGTTGAGACCATGCAGTCTCGCACATCGACTGTGTGCCAAGTGCTGGTAAGTCGTCCAGCTCTGAGGTCTCCTTTCATGCTCACAGCAACCCTGGGAAACAGGTATTATCACTCCCATCTTAAAGAAGAGGAAACTAAAGCCTAAAAAGGGGTGGTGGTTGGCCCAGAGTCCCACACTTTCACAATGCAAGGGCCCCAAAACTAGGACACTTTCACAATCACAGTATGTCTGTCCTTCTGGCCTCAGCACCTTCCATCCCAGTGCCTGAGTATCCAGTTGCTGTGTGGCCTTGGGACTGGCTGTTCATTCCTCTCTTTGAACTCAGTTTCCCCTCCTATGAAATGGGTTCCTTCTACTCCCAAATGGCCTTCCAGATAGGCAGAGTAGGGGCCTAGGAGTCAGCTCTCCCATGTCTATGCCTCTTTTCCAGAATCAGCCTGTTCGGAATTTCGGGGCAGTCAAGGTGAAGATATCGAGCAACTGGGGGAACCCACGCTTCACCTGCCTGTACCGCGTGCGGGTGCACGGCTCTGTGACCCCACCCAGAGAGCAGCCTAACTGAGCCCCTACCTTGAGAGAGATTAAAGTTTATTCTTCACGTCCGAGCTTAAGTCTGTGTGTCTTTGGTCCCAAAGAGTGAGGGTGGGCTAGCATTTGACGTCTGAGGCCACAATTAGCAATTATCGATCATGTGCTGGGTACCCATGTGCCCTCACAACAGCCCCATGAGGCCTCATTTCACAGACGGGACAGTAAAGACTTTAAGCAACAAAGTGACTTGCCAGAGATCACAGCCAGCAAATGGCAGCACCAAGATTGAAACCCAGGCAGTCTGATATCTGTACATAAGATGACTCCCTGGCTTTAAGCCAAGCTCTGCCCCTGACCCAGATGTGACCTTGGGGAAGACCCAGCCCTCTCAGGGCCTCAGTCTCTCCATCTGCACCATTGGGACAGGATTAAGGCTGTTATATTGGATGAGGTGGGAAATGGAAAACCCCACCCCTGCCCACCTTGGAGTGTGTCACCATCATACAAATGATTTACTGTGTGGCATTAGGCAGGACAAATATTCTCTCTGGACCTCAGTTTTTCCACGTATAAACATTTCTGTTCCCTTTTGTGGATCAAAAGACAACATCAACAAAGTAAAAAGGCAATCGAGAAAATGGGAGAAAATATTTGCAAATCACATATCTAATAAGAGACTAATATTCAGAATATATAGAGAACTTTTAAACTCAACAACGAAAGAACAACCACCTAATTCAAAAATAGGCTAAGGGCTTCAACAGACATTTCTCCAAAGAAGATACATGAATGGCTATAAGCCCATGAAAAAGATGCTCAATATCACTGATCATTAGGGAAATTAAAATCTAAACTACCATGAGATACCACCTCACACCCGTTAGGATGGCTACCATAAAAAAATAAGTATTGAGGAGGATGTGGAGAAATTAGAACTCTTGCGCACTACTGGTGGAAATGTTAAATGATGCAGCTTCTGTAGAAAATACTATAACAGTTCATCAGAAAATTAAAACCGTAATTACCATATGACCCAGCAATTAATTCCACTCCTGAGTATATACCCAAAATAATTGAAAGCAGGATCTCAAAGAGGTATTTGTACACCCACGATCATAGCATCATTCACAGTAGCTGAAATGTGGAAGCAACCAGGCGTCCATCAACAGATGAATAGACAAACAAAGATGTGCGTACAATGGCATATTATTCAGTCTTAAAAAGAAAGGAAATTCTGACACATGCTATAAGATGGATGAACCTTGAGGACATTATGCTAAATGAAATAAGTCAGTCACAAAAAGATAAATAAGTATGATTCCAATTATATGAGATATGTAGAACAGTGAAAATCCTAAAGACAGAAAGTTGAATGATGGTTGCTGGGGCTGGGGGAGGGATGCAGAGTTTCAGTTTTACAAAATGGAAAGAGCTATGAAGATAGATGGTGGTGATGGTTGCACAATATTATAAATGTATTTAATACCATTGAACTGTACATTTAAAATGGTTAAGATGGTACATTTTATATTGTATGTATTTTACTGCAATAAAAATTGAAAAAAATTATGAAGTACCTTAAATACTGTAAAGGAGGAAATCTGGGATACTTTGGAAACTGTAAGAATAT